TGTCAAGGTGCCTCTGAATGGCAGCACAACCATCTGGTCCATCAACCACTACCTTCAGTTTTGTATCATCTCCAAACTTGCTAAGGATGCACTCTGTACCACCACGCAGGTCGTTGTTGAAGACATTAGACAGTACTAGCTCCAAATCATCCCCTGGAGTACACCACTAGCAACTTGCCTTCACCTGGACTTCGTGCTACTAACAACTCTGAGCCTAGTTCAGATGGCTTCAATCCACCTTACTGTCCACCTAGCTGGTCTGCACTTCATCAGCTTGTCTCACAGGATGCTGTGGGATACAGTGTCAAAAGACTTGCTGAAGTCAAGATCAACAGCATCCACTGCTCTCCTCTCATCTACTAAGGTAGCCATCTCATCATAGAAGGCTATCAGGTAAGGCTTGATCTTCCATTTGTAAAACCATCATGACTACTTCCCATCATCATTTTCTACTTATGTTGGAACATGGCTTCCAGAAGGATCTGCTTCATCACCTTTCCGGGGACTGAGGTGAGGCTGACCTGCCTATAAGTCCCTTGAATCTTCTTTCTTGCCGTTCTTGAGGACAGGGGTGACATTTGCTTTCTTTCAGTCCTCTAGAACCTCCCTCATTCCCCACGACCTTTCAAACAAATCGAGACTGGCCTCACAGTGACATCAGCCAGCTCCTTCAGTACTCACAGGTGCATCCTATCAGAACCCATAAAATTGTCCACTGAACCACATCCAACCCATTTACATGCTCCCTGACCTGATATCAAACAAGGGCAAGCCCTCCTTGCTCCAGACCTTCCTGCTCATCTCAGGGGCTTGGGATTCCTGAAAGCAAATCTCACCAGTAAAGCCCAAGGCAAAGACAGCACTAACTACCTCTTCCTCTTCTGTGTCCCCGTCACTAGGTTCCCTGCCATACTCTGAGCCAGGCTCTCATCTTCCTTTGCCAGGTGATATACTCACACTAGTATATCTTGGTGCCTTTCATGCTCTTTGCCAGGTTCAACTCCAGGTGGGCTTTGCCTTTCCTAGTCGCATCCCTGTTTGCTTGGACATTGTCTCTATATTCCTCATGCACCACCTGGCCTGCTTCCACTTCTTGTATGCTTCCTTTTTATGTTCAAGCATGCTTCCCCAGCATATTTTCATCTCCCCATGTTTTGATTCACAAGTAATTTCCCTAGCTTCAGTTAGGAAATGGAACTATATTTGTTCTATATTTACGTTTACGTTTTGAGCGATGACTCAAGACTACTGCCCTTACTGTAAGCACTTTGTTTTGCAAATCCCAAGCCTGAACTTCGAGAGGACAAACTTAAGACTTTCAATTTTTGATCCTAGATCTGAAGTCCAACAGTATATGCAGGCACACCATCCCAACAATTTTGCAACTATTTGCATCACTTATCAGAGTAGAAAATGTTTCAGGATCCCTAAAGATGCTTTGAAATTACCAATGTAGAAGAAAGCTTTTGACGACGTAGGACAAATCCTCAGTTCCGTCATCCCGGGAGTTAAATGCAGTCCTCGCTAACTATCAGTTACAAAAGTTAACAGACAATATAGTTTCATTTTCCCCTAAGTTCCTGAGAAAGATCCCGGGGAAAATCACTGCCCTGTAAGTATGAGTATTCTCTTCCAACCTCTAATACAATGAACTAGATTCACTGGTTTCCAAAGTATGCTGAGGCAGTAATTAGAGAACTATCACCAGCTCTCCTACAGCTAAGGATTTAACCCATTTTTGAAAAAGAAATCAACTGTCTAGTACACAGAAAGAGCAGCACATTAGAAAGTAACATTTTTCTGTACTTTTCTCTTACACTTCAAAGCCAATGACCTGATGAGACACTAGTTATGACACCTTCAGATTAAATAACTTTGCTTCTGCTAGTAGTAGAGCAACAAGTTACCAAGTACTAATTATGAAATTAACTGAATTTGAAATGGAACATCCAAACTTGCATTCTGTAGTTGGGAAAAGGGGTGGGGAGCGATCAGTACATACTTGTCCACTTGGCCTGCATTGTGATTGTTCTCTGCTCTCATCCGCGTCAATGCAGCAGCAGCTTCATCCAGCGCACAGCTGACAGAGGACGTCAGTCTCCGGAGAACCTCGGGATCTGCGAAGGCTTTACCATCGGCAGTGGACAATTTACCAATTCCTTCAGTGTACGTTCGTTCATCAGTCGGGTTAGTATGAAAGTCACACAAAAGAAATGCAAAGACACGATTTTAGATTACAGCCACATGCACTATTAGTTAAAAATCATTTGCAAACATGCCAGAAAATCAGCTACTTAAAAGTAACTTAACATTTGCCTAAGACCTGAACATTTAATTAACTATAATAAGGCAGTAAAAAAAGTATTTTTCAACTGGCACCTTCATTACCTGTCCCAAATTCCCAACTCACACCTTTGAAGAATTTTAAAAATAAAATCTTGGGGGGAACAAGGATAAGTCCAGGGATTAAGCCCAAAACCAAGTGTTCAAGAAATACGTATTGTTCCATGGGCTTGGTATAACATTTTCTGAATGTGAGGAATTCTCCAATTTAAAATGTAAAGTAGTTACCCCTTTCCCACCCAACTCCATCCAAAATGAAGTGGACTTAGCTCTAATATACGTTTTCTTTAAAGGCAGGAAAAAACATTTTTAAAGTTATTAGCTTAAATTTCCTATAATTTAACATTCTAAGCTGCACGGCTCTAGCTTCAGGCATAAAAATTATGAAATAAAATTTCAAATATTTTAAGTATACTTAAATTCAATGCCTTCTCTACACTAAGCAGTAGAAATGCTTACTCAAGGGACTTTTGTAACAGCTTCTCTTTTAAAAAAAATTCTTTGCTGCAAGACTAAAGCTGAAGGCCAATACAGAACAGCACCGTAAGCAGGTATCTACCCCGCTCATTTACACGTTTGATATATAATTACGGTACAGCTGTGCAGTTTTACTCCACACAGATTTTACTCCATATAGTTCATCACAGCCTCAAGCACATTGTATTTTACTTATGCAAACATCACTGCACAGTTGCCTCTGAAGTGTAAGCAGGGTGTATATTTGCATATACAAATGTGCAAATACTGTAAAGAAACACACTGATGAATAGTACCCTCTCTCCCCCTCTCCCCCCTCAAAAAAAATCAATTTCATATTCTACAAAAAACCAGACGGTTACTGGTTTATAGATTAGCTCTACCTTCCCCAGTGATGAATCAGTAACTTTTCAATTTCTTAGTTGTTAAACAGTCAAATTAGACAAAAACCTCTGAAGATAATGCATCTTGTACCTCGGAAGGTTTGCTGTTTGGTATGTCCGTATCTCTGCAAGACTGATTTATGCTCCCGCAACCCAGCTTGTAACTATTCTAAAAGAAATACTGAAATCATACTTTGAAACTTTCAAACATTGTCTTCAGACAATGTATCTCCCCTGTTTGAGAGCATCCAATTTGTTTCTCACTGATGCGAGAACCAATACTTACCAAATGTCCCCGCCCTGAACACAGTTGAGGCCAGCACACACCAGGCACACTCTTTTACACTACCCCACATCACTGCTGGCTTACAGTACTCAGACCCAGTGCCGCTGGAAATGACGAAGGGTCCCTATCCCATCATCAAGGCAGACACCTATGACAGGCTGCAGAAGTTTACCTGGCCAACTGAAACCGAGCATGGGCTACGAAGGCTGAGATGAGCTGCTCAAGAGACTTGGTCAGAGCCAAGGGCACTGCCTCCCTGGCTCCAGCATCCTGCCTCTGGGTCACTTCGGCACTGCCAAAACGCTATGAAAAGCCATTTCTAAGAAGTTACCCACCATGCAATAAAATGACAACTAATCTGCTCACGCCAAACTCGCCTGGTTTTCGAAAGTGCCCAGCGCACTGCAGAGCAATCGGAGCAGAGAAACGTCGGGTCACAGACTCCTGACTCCACAGAATTTGAAGAGTCCCCTTCCAGCCCCCTTCCAGCTCCGAACTGTTAGACCATCACCTTCCTGCCACTGCCGTTAAATATAGCGAGGCTATAAATAACAAGCCCCAAACACCACTGCTCACACTCCACAGAGCAACATAAACGGAATTTGTGGTTGGTTTAAAGGGGGATGTCGGCTCTGCCATCGCAGCAGTGGGACAGTGGGAGATGGTCACTGCAAAAGGCACCCGGGCATCGATTTAGTACCAAACACACAGAGAAAGCGGTAAGTTTTTACACGGATCTGCTTCCCCAGGACAGCTCACAGAGCAACTACACAGATGTTCACACTAGCTATTTCTGGTGGCAGTGCTGGCTTGCACTAGCTTTCAGCGCACATAGAGGTACTGCCTAAGGAAAGAGAAGGAATTAAGTGTTCACAGCTCAGCAGTGAGGCCTCATCTAGGACCCTGTAACCAGAGCTGAACACCGCAGTAAGTGAAGCGGAAAAGTACCTGAGAGAAATCCACAGGATTTAGAAAAATGACCCCTGAGCGAACGCTAAAAGGAGCAGATCTAGCTTACAAGGAGCAGCACAACAGCAGGTTCTCGTCACTTAAAAGGGTCTCACGAAGGAGCTGGTAAACAGCTCTACTGCTGGCAGAAAAAGTGGGATATACGAAGTCCACTCAAAAAACCAAACCAAAACAGAACACAAAATGACCTGTCTATCTGAAACCAAACTGGATATCTGTCGGAGAAGTTTCCTGGCTGCTACACGGGAAGCCCCTGTGCCTTGTCGAGACAGGTGCTGCGAGTCACGGTGGCCAGCCGGAGACCAGGTGACTACGGGAGGCTTAAAGGTGGGGCACTCCCCTCGGGGAGGGGGCAATTTTCTCCTGGAGATTGGAGAGGTAGGAGCCCCCGGAGAGCAGTGAGTTGAAGCTCTCTGTTGGAAGCCTTCGGTTGTGATAAGGACCTTTGGAGTGTGATAAAGAGCCTTCTGATATACGAGGGGAATCACAATGGCCTTTTGGGTTGTGATTCCTGAAGATGAGATACCAGCGGTCCGCGACAGATATCTCAATCACTTCAAAGCACTACGGCAGCAGATCAGACAGGTCACCTAGACAAGCAGAACCTACACTTGACTACTCTCTCCGTTTCTCAAGTTTCCTTGTTGAAGCATTCATGCATGGGATGTCTGAAGGCGAGACAAGTCACCCCATAGATCTAAGTCCCGTGCCCGTAAAGACAAATGAACTTCAACCTCTGCAGAGCTCCTGCTCCAAAGTATCCATTTTCATGGATTACTGCTGGTGGTCTCCTGGAGGAAACAGGTCACTGGCTCTTCCTTCCAGCTGATAAAAGCATACTTGACAGCTCCATACAGTTTCCTACCATGTTCCAAAAAGGTGCTGTGACCACACCAAGGACTTTCAGAGGGTAAGCTGAAGATGTCTTTTATTTACCTCACCAGCTAGGGCTCAACACGGGTGCCATCCCCAGCTGTTAACTTCATACTTTTATATCGCACATGCCAAAACTAATCAGCAGCCACAAAAGACCTCAGAGCAGACATTTGTCAGGCTGGATGGAGTAGAAGGGAGACAGACTACAAGAATTACCACTGCAGACACCCATTAATTTATCTTGCTTTTTGCAAGTTTACAGTGCCATGTAAATAACTGCTCAGTTTTCACTTGGCCGTGACGTAGGATGACTCTGTCAGAACCCTATTGCTGTAATGCTCACTTTTCTTTGAATCTCTAAATTCATCTGTGTCCACTCCATAGCCACTTGCTCCTGTGTCGCTCTCCCGGGTGTCTAAGACACCTTGTACACAAAGGGACAGCAACAATCTGATCTACACACAGGTGCTGGACTAGAACTCTTCTTGTCTCCTCCCATTCAATGACTACTGAAAGCATCCTCAAGACCATTCTCCACATTTGCTCGAATTCATCCTTCTTGCACACAACTGATCACAATTCCTCATGTTCCTACAGTCTCACTAGCATATTACTGATCTGACACCGCCTGAACTGAAAGCCAGTGTTTGACATTCTGTGCCTCCTGTGGGGCAGTGGCACATTTTCAGGAACGCAAGTCACCACAGAGGTTGTGTAACATCATCTTTTCATGACGATGAGAATATGGCAGGCACTGCAGACAGTTTTTTATTGAGAACAGTCTACCATCATTAACCATTCGGAGGTGCTGACGTTCCCAGTGCAAAGTTACAGCTTACCACTAAAATTATTAAGTTCACATTTGCAAGTAAACTCAAAGGAAGTACTTCCATACAACATGAGCTGCCATACAAAGGCCAAAAAAGTGAATTTAAGTATAGATTAGATAGGTTCATAGAAGGCATAAGCTTTACAGTAACACTAAGAAGAGTAGCCCTGGCAGTCACTATTTAAGGACATTCCCAAAGAGACTACTGGAAGGATAGAGAGAGAAAAGACTATCACTTGTACTGTCATCTAACTGCGTTTTCCTCAAGTGTCCACAGCTAGCCCGCTGCAGGGCACAGAGCTAGACACACGTTCAGTCTGCCTTTGTGGGGCAGTTCTTCAGCTGAGCACCTTCGGCTGAACCCATGAGCCAGTGTGTCCCCAGACTCCGGCAGCAACAAGGCCAGTGGCATTATCCGGCAACTGAAAAGAGAGCGCTCAACCAGCCCTGTGTTGCCAGAGAAGTTGTGGATGCCCCACCTGTGGAACTGCTCAAGGCCAGGTTGGAAAGGGCTTTTGAGCAATCTGATCTAGCGGAAGATGTCCCTGCCCATGGCAGGGGGGTTGGACTAGATGATTTTTAAAGGTTGCTTCCAACTCAAAACCCATTCTATGATTCTATAGTCTCTCCTGACTGGAAATGGATGACCTAGCTCCTCCCCATCCAACACATCAACACAGACTGTCGATCTCTAAATTACAGAGAAAAGCACACCGAGAAAATAGTTCTGAATTCTAGGATCTGCAAGCAGATTACTCCTTCTGCTGGGCCACAAACCTTCAACTCTATGGAAGACAGATTCAGGCTGCATCTGAAAAAGGTGCTTCTACCAGTTTAAACAAGTCAATCATTTAACAGAGATGAAACGTCCAGTACAACTGACTACTACACAACCAGGCTGAGTCTGGAGCAGATGACTTTTTTTTCCCACTATGCCACTCATGCTGTGTGCCAGAGTAAACTTAGTGGCAGGTTAGTGCCATACTACTGACCTATCAATCTATTTAAAGTAGCCTGAAGTCGATCAGAGGTGTATTAGAACAAGAAGCTCACCTTTCCAGGGAAAAGCTTGCTCATCAGATACACACCTATAACCAACACTGATTTGAAGCATGGGCTTCCTTGTTGACTTCCAGACTCATTAGCATACTCCGTCCATGTAACTACCAAAGTCAGAGTTTTAAAGTAACTGAAATGAGCTTGTAACCTCTCAGTGTGATCCTCCTCTAACTAGTCAAAGGTACAGATATCACCTCAGAAAAAACGGGACACAATCAGGCTTGTATCTTTGGAAAAGCCGGAAGGGCAGGACCTTATATCGCTGGTGTGATTTTGCCATGAGGAACCAGAGCTTACATTCTCTGAAAACCATGTCTAAATTTTCACAGTTTGAACACACAAGTTGAAAGCCATGAATGTATCTTAAAGAGCCAACATTAAAAACCTGGGCCAAAGTCATTTCAAGTTCACTGCAGAAAAGGAACAAGTCAGATACACACACTGGAGCAACCATTCCCTTCCCTTCTACTTCAAGAAAAAGAACATTCTCTCAGGAGCATCAGTTGCTCTACCCTCCCTAACTGGATAAAGTTCATATCAAGGACAAGGAAAATACTTAATTGTAGTTTCTAGTTAGTAGTTCATAATTATCACCATTTACAAAACCTGAAAATGAAATTACTCTGATACAGAGCCCATAGTTAAGTCCTTCATACCACACACAAGCGGTGCCAACGCATGCTTTGAACATCAAAGGAGATGGTTCCAAACAGATCAATGTATCTAAGCCTAAGAAGTAGCATCCCACAATCCTCACAAAAAAATGCCGATTCAGCAGTAGTTATATTCCTTCCCACTCCATTCCAGCACACCATATGGTCTAACATACACTTGAGGCTATTCACCTACTAAGGTGTCCAATTCATGGTCTCGCATTCATCACAAAATCAAACTCAACTTTAGCTCACATGGAATCATCTGCTGGTCACCGAACCTTAAAAGGATCCTCTGTCTCCTTAAGGTCTTACATAACCTGTTCCCCAAAGGCAGGTTTTGATGGAAATTTGATGGAAATTTCATTTCTGCCATCACAGAGACATGGCAGGATGAATCCTATGACTGGAGTGTAGGAATAGAAGGATACACACTCTTCAGGAAGGACAGGCAGGGGCGAAGAGGAGGAGGGGTTGCCCTCTATGTCAAAGACCAGCTGGAGTGCATGGAGCTGCACCTGGGGACGGATGAGGAGACAAGAGAGAGCTTATGGGTCAGGATTAAAGGGAGGGCAGGGACAGGGGACATGGCAGCGGGGGTCTGCCACAGGCCACCTGACCAGCAAGACCAGGTGGATAAGGCCCTCCATAGACAGATAGGAGCAGCCTGACGTTCATGAGCCCTGGTCCTCATGGGGGCCTTCAACCACCCCGATATCTGTTGGAAGGACAACACGGCAGGGCAGAAGCAATCCAGGAGGTTCCTGGAATGCATGGATAAGTTGATAACTTCCTTCTCCAAGTGACAGAGGAACCAACAAGGAGAGGTGCTTTACTGGACCTTGTTCTCACCAACAAGGAGGAGCTGGTGGGGAATATGAAGTTCAAGGGCAGCCTTGGCTGCAGTGACCATCAAATGGTGGCGTTCAAGATCCTTAGGGAGGCAAGGAGGCCACTCAGCAAGCTCACTGCCCTGGATTTCAGGACAGCAGACTTTGGCCTCTTCAGGGATCTGCTTGGTAGAATACCATGGGATAAAGCCCTACAGGGAAGAAGGGAC